GTCTTTATTTTACAGTTAAAATATATGTTTATCAAATAAAGTCTAATGTTACAACTAATCAGGGATCCCTTTAATCATTTGTTGTTTTGTAGGTGTTTTGTTTTTAGTGTTTAAGCACTACATTTATAAGATAGAATTAAAAAGCTCAAACTATTCCTGTAAATTGTTCAGTTGTGGCCAGCAGTCTTACCTTCATCATGCAGGATATGTTGAGCTGCTTCAACTTGTCGTTAAGATGAGCCACCTCAGATGTTGTGTATTTGTCCTTGCTCCTCAGAACATCGATTTCTCCGTGCAGCTTGATCTTGTCCATCAGGAGCTTCTCCTTCTCCTCGTCATGTTTCCTCTGCAGCTCCTTGCTACTCTGCTCGTTCTGCTCAATAATGGCTGTGCGATTTTTGCTGCAGTCCTTGTAGTCCTCAGCTAGACGCCCGTTCTCGGCCTTCAAGTGGTTGTTCTGCTGCTCCATGTCGGACAGTTGTTCTCCCACATTGTTCAGGTAGCGCTGAAGCTTGTCCTCCACCTCCCGGGACAAGCTGGTGCAGTTGGTGTGGATTTGCTCCAGGTGCTCCCTCTGTTTGGCACATGTGAGCTGAAAAGCAATGTGTCGAGGAAAGAGAGAGTCGATTTTTTCCAGTAAGGCCTTAGAAACTGTAGAGACGGAGCGCAACAACTGGGAGAATTCTTCTTTTGATTTGTACTTATACTGGTCCAGCTCGTTTTCCAGGATGGATTTTTGTCTTCTGAGGATAATGGCATCCATGGCTGATTTGTCTTTTTCCTTGACCGTCTGTTCCATGTTCATGTGCATCTTTTTCACAGTCTCAGTGAAGTTGGACTGCACATATTTTAACTGAGTCTCCAAGATCCCACAGCTACACCCAGCAGGAAATGGTGGTGGTGCTTTGAAAACGTCAGAAGAAAGGTGAAGTAAATTGAAATGATAATAAAAACTGTCATACATCTGTTAATGGGGCACCAAGTGTATAATAAAATGTTTAAAAAATGTCACTAACATGTTTTCATTATTTAGCTCAGTTTATAGCTAATTTCTACTAAAGGTTAAATATAAATGTTAAAAACTATATGTAAATATTAAATCCTGAATCTAAATTAAAATCTTAAATGTTGCAGCTGAATGATAAAGCCTTCATTTKAGAATTTTGGAAAAGACAGCTTTTACTGTCAGTGCGCACTTTTGTTGTGACATCATCATCCTGCGACATAAACTAACCCTATCACTGCTAGCACTGCTAACGATGGTGAAAATTTAAATTAAAAACTTTCATTTATCTTTCTGCACTTATCTTGAATGTATGTTTTTAACATGGAGCCCTGTTATCTATCTATCTATCTATCTATCTATCTATCTATCTATCTATCTATCTATCTATCTATCTATCTATCTATCTATCTATCTATCTATCTATCTATCTA